GAGAACACCCTCGTCATGCAAGGGCGGGAAACGAAGACCGTGCCGTCCCCTGCGCTGGTCTGGGTGTGGCCGTCCCCAGTCGAGCCGATCGGGAACTGCGTTTTAACGAACAGGGCAAGGGCGAAAGAATATTGGATCGACGAATGGGATGCGGATATCACCGCGATTGGGGCCGGCTCAGGCGAGAGGACGGCGCGCAGAAAATCTCGAGAGTGTGGGCGTGGTGTATCTCGATGACGGGCAGGGCAAAGGGACTTGCCACATGCTCCGGGGGACTGAATCATATCACAAGTGTCCTGATATTGAAACCAGCACATAGCCTAGCTCAGTATCTCGGATGTGCTGGGGACGAAGAAAAGAAGTAGGCCTTGTCTAGAGGGGTGTGAGTAGAATCTGAACTCCTTTTGCTTCAAAGTCCCAGCGGTGTTTGTATTTCTGAATTGCCTCCTCAGCCCTCGAAAGCAACCTATGCCTTGTAACCAGAACATTTTGACGTGTCGCGACATCAGAGAGAAGGGCAAACCGAAGTGAACAAGCTGGTGGTGTAACAGACGCCGAGATCCATCCACGAACTGACACGATATAGCGCGCATGTACATGTCGGTCTGACTGCTGACCATGCCATCCCGTTGCAGGGGATTCATCGGTCGCTCTCGGCAAGGCCAGGTCTGCTATCGACGCGTCTGTAACTGTATGGTCATGGGCCGCTGCTGAGTCACACATTGCTTGTCTCCCTCACAAACGTCCGCAAAGACCGTAAAGACGCATACACAGTGATAGAATTGCGAATTCGTCTGGTAAGAAGGGCGTCAGCGGACTAATACCGGGTTGACGTTGACGGCCTAAACCCTGGGGACTCAAGTTTGGCCAGGCTTGACGCACTCGCTGGTGTCCCCTACACAACAAAGTGGCAGCCAGCCGTTGTTGGGGGTGGCTGACGTGGCTGTTGTCGATGACTCGCTATTCGCTATATGTCATCGCGAGGCGTCGTCGTTGCACGGGACGTTAGCCCCCGTTTCTGCCCATATTGGGTCAAGACGAACGTCGCCCCGTCTCCTCCTCTCAGTAGCTCTCCAAACGCTTTTATTGCCATGTCCCAGTGGCGTGTCGGGCCGGCATTTCTTAATGATCAGGTGTTGCAGAGCACACGTGTAGTAGCTGAGAGTCATTCTGTAGTTCTGTACGAAATCAGGGTTCAAGACCTGCAGAAGGTAGTGGATGCGCGGAGGAGTGTGGGGAGAGAGAGGGGGACGCTGCGCGGAGTCACGAATCGATGGTCTCCTTGGACCCCAGCTTCGGACAAAGGTCTCGAGTCAGAAGTAGATGGTTCGGCTTCGTTCCCCAAATTCTCCAAATTCTGCGAGGGCCGTGATGGTGATTGGTACGGCTGGAAGACGCCGTTGGGATGGAGGTGACGAGTCTGACTGGGTCAAGAGACCTTGTGGGACGGGTGCGCGCCTAACCGCCCATAAGCTTAAACAAGAACATGCAAGGGAACTTTGGAGTGGATGGAGGGCGAAGCTGTGAGAGAGTGTGGTCCGATACATTAGGATTCATGAGTTGTTGACTTACAAAAGGATCATAGTCTTGGATGGTGTTGTCAGAGCTCTCGAATCAACGAGCTCTGAGCAGAGTTTGGTCCTTTCATTGCATGTTCCGGCAGTTTGTACAATGAAGGCGTGGATACTGCCCTGACTCCCGCATAGCTAGTTTCCGTGCACACGGAGAGCCCGGCTCGATAAATGAAGGCAACGCCATGACAGGTAGGTGAACCATGCCATCAGCCGCAGTCGAAAATTGCTGTCCAGGCCATCCCTCTGAACGCCACCGACGGGGACGGGGTACTCTAATGAGATACCTTGAGCTTAGAAGTCCAATGTTCGCCTGCAAATAGGCATGAACAGACAACCCCTTCCGATCTAGTGCCTGTATGATGTAGATTAAGTGACAACCCATCGTCGGCCCTGCTCCGGCAGAACGTTATTGCGCTGCCCAATTCCTTCTATTAACCATGTCGCAGCTTTTGTAGGGCTATCTTGGACGTTCCCGGCGGTCCGACAGCCTTTTCAACCGAAAAGACCGTGCTTGCTGTAGAATCATACCTGACTGATAGCTGACAGTGATATAGATCCTCGGTTGGTGAGCCGGTGCGAGGATCGTCAGGACAGCCTATGGAATGGAATATGGAACAAGTTGCTAAGAGCGGTAGGTGACATTGGCTGAAACGATATCGCAAAGGCTTTCCTGTGATAAGTACAGGGGAGTTGTGGTATTGATTTATGACTGGCCTTTCCTTCAGTCCGGGTGGCGGCAGTTGTGGGTGTAGTATGACCGTCGTTGCTTGGCGATACAGGTGTTCTCTGCTTCCAGTCTTCTTTCCCGTCACATTATGACGGCCCTTGCCATGCTGTCAAGGTCGTGTCAGAGCCTCGGACCTTTCCAGACGGGTGCCGAGCAACTTGGACGAGGGGCTAAATAAGTTCCAGAAATTAGATGCGGGTTTGCCATCATGAGATTGGACGGCCGTAACCCGGAGCCGAGACCGGCGGCTCGAGAGAACCGCGTTTTGCTCCTTGCTAAGTTGTTCTTGAGCTCTGACGGGGCTCTTGTGTTACGTCTATGACCCACGCGTGGCGGTCAAGACTCGGATGCAACAACGGCATAGAGATTGGTGATGGGGAAATGGCCCAAGGCGATCCGAATAAGGTAAAGAACATCCGAAGCTTAAATTTCAGGTCATCGCGTCGTTTCTCACCTCCGAACAGTTTGGAACGCCCAAGTCTCGCCGCGCCAAGAGAGCAAACTGGCGTCAACGGCGTCAAAATAGAGAGAAAATGGTACCTCTGCTTGGCAACATACACTTTCTCCTTTAACAATCGTATCCACCAAGTTATGGGTTGGGGTTTAGCTCAGCAGACGGGAGATGGATGCAGAGTCGAAGCTTCTCTCGGCAACATATCTGAGTCAATGTCTGATAATGGTGGATGGCCTCTGGTTGAACAGTGCTCTCTTTCCACTACACCTCATTTGAGAGGCGGCAGCTTGAGCATTCGGATGGCTAACCCTATTACTGATCCATGCGTCGAGAGACACACTGCAGCCACGTGTGTGACAATTATTCTGCCGTGGTGCCGTGCTCACTTCAAACCGCCCGTCTCATGCGTTCGTGTTGAGGCTTGGAAGGCATGGACGTTGGCCCCCAATCTGGAGATTGCGGCCGTTGTTCTTTTTGCCTCGGTGCAGTTGTGCTAAAAACCGTCTCGCAAATTGAATGACTGTTGGGTGTTGTGGCTGTATGCACACCATCGAACCCGGGCCTGGAACGAAGCGGCATGAGCAGCATGTATCGGGCTATTCCCATAGGAGACCAGCGAACCCCAGTCAGGGCCTTTTGGATGCCGCGGTGCCCGGCCTGTGTCGGGCTCTTCAACTCTTACTCTTGGAGTCTCCCACCTGGCACCTTCGGCCGCTATTCGGCTCTGGAGAGCATGAGGGAACAAGGTCTCTGGATGTCATGTGTACAGGTGCGGGGCAAGCTGTGTGCACCAACGTATGAATGCGACTTGCCAATGTTCACTCCTAGGTCGTCAAGACTTACTCAACGAAGGTCTCGAGAAAGTGCCGGAGATGCCAGCCGGGGCTGGATTCCGTTAGTTGCTCGCTGTAATTGCGACTTTGGGCGAGGCCCGTTGGAAAGTGTCCACCTCTTTTGTGGGGGGATGCCCATGTTGAAGTTTGAACAGTAGGCCAACTTGTCAATCAAGCTTGGGTTTATGGAGGCAGTCGTCGGTACGAATAGACTCTTTCAGCGTGGACGATGTCCTTCGTTCGAGATGGCCAATCTATGTGAAGGCAAAAGTGATGGTTTGACGCTGACGACAAGGTTGATACCATGACATGACTCTTGTATGATGCAGGATATCGAGCAGAAGCAAGGGAGGACGAGCAAGTTGTGGCTTTGCTTTTCGCGTGGATGATGCTGTGGCGGATCTACGAGCAATCCGGGGAAAGTCCCTCGGGCCCAAGCCAGGGTGTCAGTGTCGAGCTCCAGGATACAGACGAAGACTCGTCGCGGATGGCTTGCGCTGCTTCAATTCGGCACTGACCAACGTCAGTCGTCCATGATCCGGTTCAAAGCATGCTCTGATTCGAGCGGTAGCCAGCATGTGTGGCCGTTCTCTATGTCGTCGAAAGGGGATCCACGAGAAATTGTGAACTTGAGTCAGCCCGTACTTAACGGTTTCTACATTTGGGGTTCGAGTTGTTGCAAGTACTTCCTAGCGACATGGAGCGAACCATAGTGGGAACCCCATCCCCCGAAGAGTTGAGACGCACTTGGCATTGAGCGAGATGGATGGCATCAGCAGGAGGACAAAAGCAGAAAGCTTCTCCGCATCGATCGGCATGGTCTCCGCTCCCCTTCGACCGGAGGCTCCTGGTGGAATGTTCTCCAATTCTTCTCGACATTGTGATGTGATGGTTTGGGTGACGAAGGCAGTAGCGGAGGCGCAGACGTGCCTGTGCCTGTGCTATCCCCTCCAAGATCTCTGGTCCCGAGCCGCCCCCCCTTGCGGGAGAGAATGCTGGCGAGCCGGGATCATCGCCATGCATTGACCATATCTAGTTGCCATGTGGTGCGATCCTTTCGTGCAGACACGCAGACTGGCAAACTCGCTGCCTGGCACCGAATAGGTAGAGCCATGAGCCAAGATAGACGGGCGGATGGTTGATAAGAGGAAAGTTATTGGTCGAAGGTAGAGTGAGCAGACACAAGCTGCGCTCTCATGGCTGTGTCAGGTCGGATCGGAGGGCGGGTGAGATTCCACTTCTATGCGGGATGGGTGGCCAGAGCAGCAACTCGCCGTCCAGACCGACACAATGCATTCGCCCTTTTGTCATAAGGAAGGGATGAGACGGGCGTAGAGCTGTTCACTTGGTCCTAATCTGTGGCAAGCATCCGCAATGTTGTTACTATCGGGCGTTGATATGTTGCAGCGACAATGATGAGACGACGGTCCACCGTGGCCGGTTTCTTCACGGCGCTTCTCTACGGCTTTGGTACCCAGGATGCCAAGGCCCTGGAATCCATAGATGCAAGTGCCTATCGATGTTATCTCGCAAGGTAAGCGCAAGACGGGTTTGAACGTCCCAATCGAGGAGCTGCGAAGCTATCCTCGGCACGGCAAGAAGAACATTCATCCCAATTTTCTCAAGTCTAGGTCGATCTCTAAATGTCCTTCCTAATGTGCAACTGTCTGACAAGGCTCACCGCCCGTAGTAACGACGGAAGGTTCGCTCGTCATCGGTCAGTAATCAGCACGAGCCAGTGAGGAAGGCATGGTCTTGGAGCATCTCATGCTGTCCGATATGAGTGAGGGCCATGTTAGTGTGTCTTCGCGCGGAAAGAAGTGAGACATTCTGTTCGAGGACTCGTCTAATCTGCAGCAACGAAACAACTAGTCCGTCGACCCAGCTTGGTAACTGACAAGTAGACAAGACACCATCAGCAGAATGGACATAGGCAGAGGCAACGTCCCAGGATAGCCAGTATCAAGTGTGGATTCTGTCGTACTTACTCCGTACAGACCATCTAAATCCGTATCCGTACTTACCTCGAGGCATGTCACCTGCCAACTGGGTCATCGTGGTCTAGCCGTTCTATTCACATACTACGGATACATCACCCTTGCATGCCATTGCTTTTCTTTTGCAGCTCTCCGAAGTTCGAACGGTAGCCCGCCTACGATGTGTCTCCGACCCGCGGCTTGCCTCGATTGAGGCAGTCTAGGCAAGGATCCTATTTCGTCTCATCTTTTTTTCACCTCGCAGGCCCCCCATGATCCATACCCCTTTTCAGCAGACATGCAGACAACAAATCATACCGCTTTTCTGAAGCTGGGGGCCAATCGCCACCAGCTCAGAAAAGGGAATCTTTACGAACGGGTAGCATGCATGGTCTGGGCAGTGGACATGTCTGTCGTACCGTAAGCGGTACTCTTCACACCCAGCTTCGTCCGCGGCATAGAGTATGGAGTACCGTAGTCATGCTTAAACGGTGGAGGACCGGCACGATGTCAATTCGAACCTCTAGTGCCGCCTGGCAGGCTATGGCGTCTTTCGGTATTTTGCCTTCTTTTTCTTTTTCCTGCTTCTTTCCTTGTTCCCATCGATCCGTTCGAGATCTGACACAGACATTACATGGGCATGTTTGGCGGACCGGCCCTTGATCTCGGTGAAAGAGCTGCCAAGCGAACGTCATCTCACGGGGCTGAAATGACACTTGTGGTTGATTTGTTCATGTACTGCATTATAAATGAGTTGTTAGTTAATCTGTCAAGTGTCAGTGTCAAACGTCAGAAGCAGCAGAGTCATGCCTGGGCTCGTGTGAAGCCATGTCGAAGATGAAGAAGAAATGACATGTTGCAGGCTCGACAAGGCTGCGCCAAGGACACCCCTACGGCTGGATTGATTAGATGGCCCGATCTTGGCGGTCCGGTGAGTGCCGGCTTGACCAACGGGGTCCGACACAGTGGTCTGGCACCAGGTGTGATTACCCAGGACAGGGGAGTCCATCACTTTCCCGTGTCCCTTTTCCGCCCGTGCGAGAGGGTTGTTGAATATCCGCTTTTTCGTATAACAAACTACAAAGCCAGGACCTCACGGGGCGGTCTGCCGGGACTAAGTGCTTCTGTCCTTCAATGGACAAGGCAGAAGTGAAGCCGGTTGGCAACGGCAAGTCGGGGATCCGGGCTTTAGAAAGGCCCTGGCATTGGCAATGTTCACCCATCCAACAAGTCGCCGATCTGATCTACATACCTACAGGCCTACAGGCTATCGGGACATGACGAGAATGCATTGCCAGGCACCTTGTTGCTTGAACGCTCATGTTCGTCTTAAGATACAGTGGCCGTCGATCCAAACAAGCCCCGTCTCAGCTTCTTGGAGAACGGTTGGCCTTGTCTTCCACTCGTCGTTTCTTTTGTAGATGTGATACCGTATCCGTCCGGTACTTGAAAAGGCACCGATAGATACCTGCTCCGGGGAAATGCATGCATGGGCCATGTATGTAATTTGGATCAAGTACCGGCCTCACCAGGTGCCGCCTGGGTCGATGAGACGCCCATCAACCGGGCTTTTACTGCGTCAGTGCATGGCTTTCGCACGTCCCCTTGGACTTTGGAAGGGGACGTGGTGGGCAGTGGTAGCAGTACAGGGGGGCTCTTGGGTCCCATTCCAACTGGGAAGGGTATCAGATGTTTGCGGAAGGTCGACAGCGAAGCTCATGGCATTCTAGCTTAATAGGACCCAGATCAGACTTTTATATGGGTTGAAACTGGATTATGGTGGATTAAACCAAGACAATTCTAGCTGTCGTGATGAATGAGGCCGAGAACGCCCCCTGCCAGCGGCGAGTCTAGATGATCGAGGGCATGGTTGTCAAGAGTCCAAGACTGGAATCTGGCGCCCACGTGTTGATTAATTCGTGAGACGCCGCTGCCCACCGGGCATACCTACTCAGGACTGTGACAGAGGGTTACAGCTATGATGGACAGAGGTTAGATTGCTCGGCTGCTACTCAAGGCATGAGGGACAAAAAGGTTAATGAATGAGGTGTGGATAGACGTTTTCGAGAAACGACCCATCTTTACGAGTTTGTGGTGAGTTGCAGAGTCATGTCCTTGTTGCACTTCGGGCGGAACGGGTGTTGCGTGCCTTAGGGTTTGTCGGCCGCGGTGGAGAGTTACTACGCGCTGTATGCCATGTAAGGCAAGGCAAGGTGCTCTCAGTGACCAGACTCCTAGCCAGAGAGGCCAGCACCCGCTCTCATTCAAAAGTCTGGGACCAGGGCATGTCTATGATGCCATTGTTGAGGCCATGGAGAGAGTGAGAGCATTGGGCTCCGTACCGGTCAGCAAATATCGGGCAAATTCTGAATTGTTGTTAGTTAGTGTGATTGGCATACCTACGTCTGGATGAGGCCTATGGGGAATACTGTGTATGGCAGGACTGCGGAACCACCCAGAGTCCCTTGATCACCTCGGGTCTGTCCAGTTGCGGGAAAGGAGGGGTGACCTGGGGCTGACCAGTCCCGCCGAGGATGTGACTGTACAGGACAGGGACGGGTCGGGTTCTGCCCAGGTCAGTGTGTCGGTAACCTCTGGCGAGGGTCGCCGGGACTTTGCGTCCAACATGCATGGGCCAGTTGAGACTTGAAGTTGACATCAACGGACTGTGTAGGGTCACGAACCCATCTCCACCCTGCTGTCATATTCAATGCTCAAGGTCGATGAGGGCCTTGCTTCTCTTTACTACACCAGTCCCTAGTTCCTGTACGGGAACCGCCTCCATCATCTTTGGTACGTAGAAAGATTCGATCAGGGAAGCAGCTTGCGTAAAGCAACGAGTTGGCAATATCAACACGGCTAGTTGGGTACAAGAGTGCTTCTCGGGCAGGTGCTGCGGCCAGCCGTTGACTCGGGATTATCGAGCTTGTCGTTCACCATATATTAACTGCTCGAGCATGTCTGTGATCCGACTCTCATCTTGCATGATGCCAGCCGCTCTCTATTGTAAGGGGGTATGTACGTGGTGCGGCAGGCAACGGCCACGGCAACAAGACAGCGCAGTTTCAACCTCATTTATCAGTTTTCTGAGGGCCAAACCGCAAATGTGACGGACTGATTGACCCAGGTGCGGAAGATGTGTACGGTTACATTGCCGGTTCAAGGCCAATTTTTTCTTTATACCTCCACTCTGAAATCCGAGACGTCCTTCTCGAGGCACGCTGGCGTACAGCATCTTTTCAAAACCAGAGACAACACGGTCCACCATCGCCAAACTCGGTTGTTGCATCACAGATGCCATCTTACATCACTAGGTCCCGTGGTTCCTCCCATGTTCTGTTTTGCTTTTCTTTGGGCTTGGCATATGCCATGGCCGCAAACTTCCAAGTCGTCTTGACCTACGAATACAATCGTTCGTCTTGCTGCACCGAGGTGGTTCGGACGATTCACACCCACCACAGATAACGAACCGGAAATACCGGCTGTCTCTCGCTCTATTTCCTGTCCGGTAAACGAACGTTGCCGTGTTGTGCGGTAGAGCGGCTCCCTCTTTCATCTTGACTCTCAGGCGCACAATTCCATGACCGACTTTGACGACAACCAACCAAAGACAGAGTACATGTCCTGCCCTCAGGCACTTTCCGAATTGTCTGATTGTCTGACATCTGATCCCTACCGACAGAAAGCGGTATCCTGCTGTACGTCTCCCATCTGGGTCCATCTGAGCGAGGCGACCTGTCCATCTTGCATCCCCCTCCTCATTTTAGAGCGCGCTACAGCTGTGCGCTGCAGTGACGGCACGCGCTGCACCTGCTCACAAGCTCACTTCTTTTTCATCTCCAAAAAACCCCACACATCCCATCCAGCTCCAACCCTTGCCAGCCATCCATCGAGTACCATCCTCGTCTCCCATGCTCATCTTCCTCCCCCATCATATATGTAGGCATGTAGGTATCCCCGGGTCGTGTGAGAGGAGAAGAAACAACGGCAGCGCCACAAAGCAGGTACATCACAGTTTGTTAGCCACGCGACTCTGCAGCAGCCCGTCTCGAAGGGGGAGGTCGCTCGGGCGCCTCGCAGGTTCCTGTCCAATGTCCATAGTTCGTCTGACCAGTCAGCGCTGACAGACTATCACGGATTATACAGACGAAGCAGAGCTAATCGGCGTGTGTTGTTGAAATTGATGTATCACGACACGGCACGGCATGATGAGACTTGTTTTATGTACAGAAAGAAGGTTGAAGGCAGCGGCGGCCTGCATCTGCCTTGTCCCTGTCCGGCTCTGGTTTTTTTTTTTTTTTGCCTTTCGCCACGAGTCGTTCATTAACTCTACCCAGGGTCTTTTGAAAATTGCTCTGGACATTCCTCTACATTTTCTCGCCTCGACTCATTGCGCACTCTCAACACTATCACGGCAGCTTTCTCTACCGTAACAATGCCGCCTGAATTCATTGTGTGATTCGGTATCGGGCCATGTACGCCGGACGTCGAAGAAGTCACCACACGACAGACGACGGGGGAGGGAGGGAGAAGATGAAGTATCATTAGACATCAATAGCTACCCATCGGCTGGGAAGACATCTGAGCAATTCTCACCATGTACTTCGCCTGTACGGATACACCGCACACCATAGAAGGCCTGGATGAAAGTACCGGGCCAGGTACTCCGGGATGGCCATTCGCAGTGCCGCTTTGCGAATTACAGAGCGGATACCCGTCTTTTGATGACTGGGTCTCTCGTCCGGGGCACAGCGAAGGAAAAGAAG